TTAAACCCCACATTCGTGCCATGACCCGCTCTGCCTTCCCCACCTCCGCAACATCGCCCGACTCCGCCACTGCCTCACCCCTTAGGCCGCTGAGACCCTCATCAACGCATTCATTACATCCAGGCTCGACTACCCCAACTCCCTGCTTGTCGGCCTTCCCAACTCCTCCCTCCACAAGCTGCAGATCATCCAGAGCTCTGCAGCTCATGTCCTCGCCCTCACCAGGCTCTGTGACCCCATCTCCCCCACCCTCGCCCGGCTCCCTATCCCGCAGAGGATAGAGTTAAAGATTCTTGTCCTCATCTTTAAAGCCCTCCACAGTCTTGGCCCCTCCCTACTTGTGCAACCCACTAAAACATTACCAACCTGCCCGCTCCCTCCACTTAGCAGACACTGGCCTGCTCCCCCCCACCCACCGCCTTCAGCCTCTCTGCCCCCTCTCTCCATCACAGTCCCTTCGCCTCTCCCCCTCCCTTACCTCCTTCAAGGCCCGTCTCAAAGAACTTCCTCTCTGACTGTGCCTTCATCCAGCCTCCCACCCCCTCACCCCATTGCTCTCTATCCCTCTTGATCCCAACCCCCAGCTCAGGTGCAAACCCTTCACTGAGATGTGCTACCGATGTATATAAGTGCAATTTTTGTTGTTGTTACTTTGGTTGTTGAATTTGATGATAGGTCACCTTTCACGTTGGGAAGATGTCTCAGATAGGTTTCTCAGGATTCATTAAAGTGTAGTAACTGCTTTTGTGGGTGAACACGGCAGCCAATTTGTGCACAGCGTTGCCCACAGAGAGACTATTTGAGAATCGAAGTGGCTCGTCACAAAGTATAACTCACACACAGAGCTTTACAGGTAGCTTCCACTTACACTGCCTGTGACGGTGTGTGCGATACTTTGTGATGAGGCACCACAAGTTCTTTCTGGTTTGTGTTTTCTTCTATACGTACGTATGTACATACGCATGTGTGTGTGTGTGAGTGTGCATGAGTGTACATACATAGGTAGTTTGGTGTGTGTCTGTGTGTAGGTAGCTTGGTGTGCATGTGCACGTGTCTGTACTCGTGTACTTAATAATAGTCCTTGCATTTAATATTGCAAGGACTATTATTGCATTTAAACGCGGCAACAGCAGCAGTGTCCCACACACATTCGGGGATTGAGTGACCAGCTTATTATTATTTTATTTATTATTATTTTTGAAGGGATTATTACCCCCCCCCCCCGAAAGGCAATCCGCCAATCAATTAACAACCTGTTTACTGCTGGGTAAACAGAGGCGTGTGGAGTAAGGAAACTTGCCCAAAGTTTTGCCCCCTGCCCGGGAATCAAACCAAGTTATTGTGGTTATTTGTACATGTTGTGCGTCCCCATTCCTTTTTACGTGTGGACCTGCGCATCTCTTACTGAGGGTACTGTACGTATGCCCCTCTGCCTGTCGGTGTTGTACCTGGTGGTGTGTATTGCAGGGTGACCGGCAGGGGGCGGCAGGGGGCTGCCTAGCTTGTGACTCAGTAAGCAGCGATGGGAGCCTGAAATCAATTCTCCTTTATCTTGCTTGATATTCTCTCAGTATCACATTTTTGTTGCCCAGCTGAGTGTCGGACACGAGCGGAAACCATCACCATTGCTTAAGAGTCTCCAAACCAAGCTGAGAATTCCAGGCCTCCCACCTACACATGGCAATCCCAGAGATAGGGTGTTGGGATGGAATGCGCTCTCTCTCTCTCTCTCTCTCTCTGGAGGGACACATCCTGCTTATCTAATTCTGGACAGTATTAGGTGGAGGTTGGCAAGAGCCAAGGCGTGTGGGGGAGCCCAGAGTGTGCATTGGGGTAATTGCTGGAGTCTAAGCTGACGCTCCAGTGCAGAACTGGGGAAGCCTCTGTAGTATTATCGAAGGTGTTGTCCTTCAGGTGAGATGTTAAACTGAGGTCCCGTCTGCCTGTTCAGGTGGACGTTAAAGATCCTGTGGCACTACTTGGGAGCTGAGGAGGGTGTTGGGTGGGGGGGTGTAGGGGGAGAGTGACCTGAGCACAGCCAAAAAGAACGGCCTTCATATGGGAGGGAGGGGAAGGAGGAGGGATGTGGGATGGAATTCTAGGAAGTGGGAGCAGAATGGTGGGGTGTATTGGGTGGTTGACATGAAGTCGGCGAGTTCATTGAATAAAGCGTGTCTGGGTCAGTATAGTTATATAATAATCCTTGCATTTGATATAGCGCCTTATCATGTCTTTGAGACGTCTCAAAGCGCTTCATAGAATATACTGTAAAGTGAATTGACTTTATTTCGTGGGCAAAATGTGGCAGCCAATTGGCAGAGGGAGCTCTGGTCGCAGATGGACAGAACGGCATTGGTCACTTTGACCAGGGCTGCATCTGTGCTGTGGGCGGCACGGAAACCCGATTGGAGGGGTTCATGAAGGGAGTGACGGGAGAGGAAGGAGCGAAGCTGAGAAGCAACAACTCATTCCAGGACCTTGGAGAGGAAAGGGAGGTTGGAGATGGGGCGGTAGTTTGAGATCAGGGATGGATCCAGGGAGGGGATTTAAGGATAGGAGTGATGACGGCGGTTTTTAATGGGGTGGGAACAGTACCAGAGGCCAGGGAGAGGTTTATGATGTCAGTGAGTAGAGGGGCAAGGAGGTGGAGCTGGGAGAGAAGGAGAGGGGTATAAATGCAAGTTGTTGTTGTTGTTAAGTACAGTATCTCCTCGCAGTTAGCGTTGGAGGAGAGGGTGGGCGGAGGAGCCGGTTGGTGATGGAGAAGAGGAGCCTGTGGTTGTCCTTGGCCTCCAAGATTGTCTTGGAGTAGAACGACGATTTAGTGGAGGCGACGGCGGAGCGGTAGGATTTGATAAGGTCCAGTCAGACCGTTAAGTTGGATTTAAGCCAGGTGCGCTCAGCAGCACGCACCTGTGCTTTAAGGGAACAGAGGTGGCTGGTGTACCATGGTGACTTTTGTGAGTAGGAGATGGTTTGGGAAGTGAGGGGTGCAAGGGAATCGAGAGTGGGCTCTCCTAGCACTGCACTGGAGTGCCAGCTGAGATTGTGACCTCAGTGAGTCTCAGTGTGGGGCTCGAACCCACAATGTGAGACAGACCCAACACTAGTGAGATCCACTTGATGCCAGAGACAAATGTCGTGCATCAAACAGGGAGACTGGCGTCAGGCTGGGAACAGATATTCTTTCCGGGACACTACTCTGCGTGAAGGTGCTGTATAAATGCAAGTTGTTGTTGTTATTCCTGTGCTCTGTGTGCACACTGTCTGGTACTGACTGCCAGGTACAAACTAAACCATATTGTTGTTTTAAGAGAGAAGTAGATAATTATTTGGAGAGGACAAGTTTGCAGGGTTATGGGGAGAGCGCGGGGAGTGGGATTGATTGGGAAGCTCTTTTCAAAGACATGATGGGCTGAATGGCCTCTTTCTATGATTCTATATTCACGAAAGGGGTTTCCTGGCAGGGCAAAATGTTAAGCAAGTTTCCTTACTTCACACGCTTGTTTACCCAGCAGTAAGTAGGAAGTCGGTGGTTAGTCGATTGGCGGATCCCTTTCCCGGGGTAACAATAATAATAACATTGCATTTGATATAGCGCCTTATATCTTTGAGGCGTCTCAAAGCGCTTCACAGAAATATACTAGTGAATTGACTATATTTTGTGGATGAAACGCAGCAGCCAATTGCGCACAGCAGCATCCCACAAACAGTCGTGGATTGAGTGACCAAATCATTAAAGACAAACAAAAATAACACCACAAAGTAAACAATTGCCCTGGGCCTGACCTGACTGAATAATTTGAAACCAATTTGATTTTGTTGCACAATAACCGCCCCAAGAAATAAAATAAAATTGGTCACTTCAAGTTGTCAATGCAAGTAGTTGTTGTGTGTGGAAAACACATTGATCAGAAGCTGACATTCTGCGCTAAGCTGCTGTGCTCCCAGTTGGTGAAATGAAGGGGTGAGCTGTCTGCAGGCGATTCTGCACCAAAATAATTAATTAATAATAATGAATAATAAATAATAATAAATAATAATTAATAATAATCGTTGCATTTGATACAGAACCTTATTACGTCTTCGAGAAATCTCAAAGCGCTTCACAGGATACACTGTAAAGTGAATTGAATGTATGTTGTGGGAGAAATACGGCAGCCAATTGCCCACAGCAGCGTCCCACAAACAGCCGTGGATTGAGTGACCAAATTATTATTATTATTATTGAAAGGATTATTATTCCCGGAAAAGCAATACGCCAATCGACTAACAACCGGGTTCCTACTTACTGCTGGTAAACAGAGGCGTGTGGAGTAAGGAAACTTGCCCAACGTTTCGCCCTGACCCGGGATCAAACCCAGGTCCTCTCGCTTGCGAGGCGAGTGCTCTAACCACTGAGCTACAGGACTCCACGAATACAGTGAGGCATCACCCTCACCCCCACCCTCGCTCAGGGAACAGCTGATCAGCCTGATTGAGTCAGTGTGAACAGAGCCAGAGGTGTCTGGTGTCCTCGGGCAGGTAGCCTCCAGGATTGTGTTTCCGTGTCGCTTTGACAGCCACAGCTGTAACGGGCTGTGAGGAGCGCTGGGCTGGGCTGTGGGTGGGTGGGAGGCTCTGCTGCTCTCCTGCTGATTTACTCAGCACCGTGTTTGCTGACTCACAGCCAGTCACAGGCAGCCGAGAGCGAGCGAGGGAGAGAGAGAGGGGAGGGGGCCTGTCAACGTGGCTGCGGAGAGTGGGAGCAGCCACTCAAAGCAATGAGAAGCAGCTGAGCTCAGAGGGAGAGAGGGGGGAGAGAGAGAAAGAGCAGGGCTCGGGCTGTGAAACAAAAAGGAATTTATCAGTGAGGCTGTACGTGTGAGTGAGTCTGGACTCCTGAAGCTGCCCCAGTGACTGCCTTCCCTCTGAGGCAGCGTGCAGAGGGGCTGAGCTGAGGGGGTTTGGGATTGAGGTTGGATTGAGGTGAGGGGGGCCGGGAGCAGAGGTTGAGGTGAGGAGGGTTGAGTTGGGGTTGAGGTGAGGGGGAGGAGGAATGATGATGAAGCCAATGCAGAAGTTGTTGCAGTTGCCGATCACGGCTGCCAACCTGATGAAGCCCCTGACGGGGGGGGAGGATGCCCGGAGCCCGGTGTTGCCGGCCGAGGGGAGCCCCCAGCACTGGTATAGCACCGTGCACTCCAGTGAGCTGCGGCTCCTCAGGCCGGGCACTGAGCAGGACAGCGAGGCCGAGCAGCAGCCCGACACCGGGCCGGACACACAGCCCCTCCGGTAAGAGAGGCGCACGGCAGGACTGTGCCTGGACATGTCGGGAGACCTGAGCCTCGTGTGCGCGTCTGGGTGTGCGTGTCAGCCCGGGTGTGTGTGTGTGTGTGTGTCCGCCCAGCTCAGTGCCTGCTCAGTGGTACCGCTCTTGCCTCTTGAGTCAGAAGGTTGTGGGTTCAAATCCCACGTCAGGACTTAAGCTCACGCTGTATAAGCTGACGCACCAGGGCAGCGCTGGGGGGTGTGGCATTGTGGGAGGTGCCGTCCTTCGTATGAGACGTTAAACCGAGGTCCCGTCTGCCTGTTCAGGTGACGGAAAAGTTCCCGCGGGGCTATTGGAAAAGAGAAGGCAGTTTCTCTCCCCCGGTGTCCTGGCTAACAATTCCCAAATAAAATTTGTCGCTTGCTCCAAGCCTGTTTGTGGGACGCTGCTGTGCACAATTGGCTGCGGCGTTTCACCCCCAAAATACACAGTCACTATACTTTACAGTATATCCTGTGAAGCGCCTTGAGACATCTCAACGGAGTCATAAGGCGCTGTAGCAAATGCAAGGATTATTAGTATTTATACGCTGGAGAATAAATCAGACAAAGTAAATTTACAGTTAGCTCAGCACATTAACAAATACTACTAATAATAGTAGCTTCTAATAGCATCTGAACTCACAAAATGCTCCCCAGCCTGTTTGCCCTGTGTCGTGGTGAGAGGTAAAGACCGTGGCCATGGATTTGTTCTGATGTTTCTGACTGCAATAGACCTCAGCATTTCACATTTAGGCACGCTGTATCTTGTATAAAGAGAGTTACAGCTGTGATCTCAACACGGCACCTCAGTGCCAGCAAACACCTCTCAATTCTGAGATACATTTGCTGGGCTGGAATCCCTGAAATCAATATCTATTACTATAATAATAACAACAATAATAATCCTTGCATTGTTGTTGGTATGCTGCACCTTATCATGTTGTTCAGACGTCTCAAAGCGCTTCACTGAATATATTGTAAACTGTGCATTTTGTGGGTGAAACGCAGCAGCCAATTGCATCGAGCAGCGTCCCACAAACAGCCGTGGATTGAGAGACAAACCATTCTTCATCGTGGGAGGTTGGGGAGGGATTAACATTTGGGTCACTTTTGATGGCAATTGCAGCAGTCACTGGGGGGTGGATTTGGTGATGTGTGTGTGTGTGTGGGGGGGGGGGGGGGGGTGCGGTGAGCTGGTTGGGGGGCTGATGTGGCTAAGATAATGCTCCAGTGCATTGCTGGTGGGGAGCGCTGTATTGTTAGAGGTGCTGTCCTTCGGATGAGCTATTAAACCAAGGTCTCGTCTGTACTTGTTCAAGTCGAATTTAAGATCCCAAAGCCTGACTCGAAAAGAGAAGGGAGTTTCTCTCTCGTGATGTCCTGGCCAACAATTCCCCAGACATAAATTGATCAATCACTTCATAGCTGCTTGTCGGCCTCCCCAACTCTTCCCTCCACAGGCTGCAGATCATTCAGAACTCTGCAGCCCTCTCCACACTGGGCTCCGCGACTCTATCACCCCCATCCTCACCCGACTCCACTGGCTTCCCATCACACAGAGGATCCTGTTCCTCACCTTCAAAGCCCTACATGGCCTTGCTCCCCCCTACCACTCCGACCTCCTAACCCCCAACCATCCTGCTCTCTCTCTCTCCGCTCAGCGGGCTCCGGCCTGCTTCACGTCCCCCGCCTCACTCACCCCACCATTGGCGGGCGGGCCTTCCGCCACTCTGCCCCACCCTCTGGAACTCCTGCAGTACCTCCACCATGCTTCCTCCTTTGCCTCCTTCAAGACCCTCCTCTTTGACCGTGCTTTCGACCTCCCTGCTTCCCCCCCCGCCCTCGACCCTCCCCCACCCCAACCCCCAGCTCGGGTCCAAAACTGGACTGTCCAGCGCCTTGGGATGTCCTCCCAACGTGAAAGGCGTTTTACAGATGAAATTTTGTTGTTGTAAAGTCATAAGGATAGGTGTATTACAGCCATGAACTGTGTCACACTAACTGGAGCTATTGCCCAAAGCTCCTGTTAACAAACATTCAGCACCTCAAGGTTCCACTGATCATCCACCAATTATTCCATAAACTACAAAACAAAATGACATTTACACAGTGCCTTTCACGTTGGGAGGATATCCCAAGGCGCTGGACAGTCAGGGATTTGGAGCTGAGCTGAGGGTTGGGATCAGGGAGAGTGGAGGGCTGGGGTAGGAGGGTGGTCAAAAGCACGGCCGAAGAGGAGGATCTTGAGATGTGCAAGGAGATAAAGAAAGGGGCGAGGCAGAGGGCCTGTGGGATGGAGTTCCAGAGGTTGGGGGCAGAGAGGCTGAAGGCCCAACCCCTGATGGTGGGGTGGGCCGGGTGGGGGACTGGAGCAGGCCGGAGCCTGCTGAGAGGAGGGAGTGAGCAGGTTGATATGGGATTAGCAGGTCACAGAGGTAGGGAGGGGCAAAGCCATTGGGGGAGGCTTGAAAGCGAAGATGAGGATTTTGACTCTGCCCCCCACCCTCATGGATGGCCTTGAAAGTGAGGACGAGGATCTTGAACTCGATCCTCTGGGGGATGGGAAGCCAGTGGAGTCGGGCGAGGGTATGAGTGATGGGGTTGGGCGAGGGTAGGAGTGATGGGGTTGGGTGAGGGTAGGAGTGATGGGGTTGGGTGAGGGTAGGAGTGATGGGGTTGCGGAGCCTGGTGCGTGAGAGTACACGAGCTGCAGAGTTTTGATGATCTGCAGAGTGTGAAGGGAAGAGTTGGGAAGGCCGATGAGGAGGGAGTTCCCATAATCGAGCCTTGAGGTGACGAATGTGTGGGTGAGGGTTTGCGCAGCCTGAGGGGTGAGGCAGTGGCGGAGTCTGGCAATGTTGCGGAGGTGGTAGTAGGCAGTGTCGGCCATGGCGCGGATGTGGGGGAGAGAGGACAGTTTAGGGTCAAAAAAGACCCCCAGGTTCCTAACTGGCTCAGTGAGGTTGAGTGTGCAGCCGTGGAGGCTGATGCTGCCATCGCCTGAGGTGCGGAGACGCTGGCGCGAGCCAAGCAGGAGGGCCTCGGCAGAGCGGGTCATGGCACAGATGTGGGGTAGAAAGGATAGTTGAGGGTCGAACAAGACCCCGCGTTTCCGGACTGGCTTAGTAAGTTGGAGTGCAACCATGGATGGTGCTGCACTCAGCCCTGAGGTGATTTATTTAGACTTTATTTAAATGGTCACAACCGGTGAGTAATTAATTCATTGTTCGATTTTCTATTCTGATCTTCAGAAATTGATGTGATGGGATTCGGGGGGTGGGGCTGTGAGGGGCTAGTTGGATTAATGAGAGTTTTGGGGGGTAAATTGTGCCACGTAATATGAAATTCTGCAATAACAATAATCAGATATGGTGAATATCTCCAGGTCCAGCTCCTGAGATAAACAGGAGAGGAACTTCTGTTAGTCATTGCTGGAGCTCACAATTTCTCTGTCTCTCTCACTCTTTCTCCCTTTCTGTCTGTCTCTCTCTATCTTTCTATCTCTCACTCTTGCCCTTGCTCTCGCTCTCTCTCTCTCAGTCCATCTCTCTATCTGTCACTCTCGTTCTCTCTCGCTGTAATTCTCAGTCTCTCTCTCTCTCTCCCTCTGTCTGTTTCTGTTTCTCTCAGTCTCTATCCCTCACACTCTCTAATGCCCGCACAAAGGGAAATCTTTATTGACCAGTGAAATTTCAGCTCCATTTGTTTTAATTTAATTGTCAGCGAACGACACAGCTCCTGTTTGTGCTGACCTGCAGTCCAGGACATCTGGGAGACGGTCCCCACTGAACACCAGCAGAGCCACATATCCTACTACCATTACCTCTTGGGCAATCCGATTACACCGAGCGCTCAGTGGTAGCAGAGTCAGAGGGTTGTGGGTTCAAGCCCCACGTTGGGACTTTGAGCTCATAGTCTAGGCTCTCCCCCTGAGATGCTCATTCACACTTTCATTAATGTCAGTCTTTACAACACCAACTCCCTGCTCACCGGACAGACTCCCCGGCTGTTTCTTACCCAAGCTGCAGATCATCTAGAACTCTGTAGCTCGTGTCCTCTCTCGCACCAAGCTCCCTGACCCGATCACCCCCACCCTCACCAGGCTCCATCGCCTCCCCATCACACTTTTACACATTGTCTGTAAAACCTGGAGACATGATACAGAATCATAGAATACTAAAGGACAGAAGGAGGCCATTTGGCCCATCGTGTCTGTGTCAGCTCTTTGGAAGAGCAACCCAATCAGTCCCTCTCACCCACTCTTTCCCCAAATCCTTGCAAAAGTTTTTCCTTTTCAAGTTCCTCTCCAATTCCCTTTTGAAAGTTGGTATTGAATCTGTTTCCACCCTTTCAGGCAGCGCATTCCAGACCGTGACAACTCTCTTGGGTAAAAAAATTATCTCCTCGATGGGTTTTATCACGTCTTCGAGACATCTGAAAGCACTCCACAAACAGTCGTAGATTGATTGACCAAGTTATTACTATTTTGAAGGGATTATTACCCCCATAAAGCGATCGGCCAATCGACTTAACAAAGGGGTTCCTACTTACTGCTAGGTAAACAGATGGAGTTAGGAAACTTGCCCAAGGTTTTGCCCTGCCCAGGAATCAAACCCAAGTCCTCTTGCTTGTGAGGCGAGTGCTCTAACCACTGAGCTACAGGACACCACAAGAGAGGGAGGGGTGGGAGGAAGAGTTGTACATTGTTGTAGTTAAAACCAAACTCCACAATAACCAGAGGTTGAGGAAGAAAGGTAAGGTGAGGAACTATGATAATAATTCTTGCATTTGATATAGCGCCTTATCACGTCTTCGAGACGTCTCAAAGCGCTTCACAGAGTATACTGTAAAGTGAATTGACTGTATTTTATGGGCGAAACTATTTTTCAGGAGAGAGGACTGCAGAATTGGTGAGATTAATGGAAGGTACAGTTGCTAAAATCTTGTTACAAAAAGCGCTCAGGCTGTGCTTGACTTGTTAC